TCTGAACGTGATTAGCTAACACTGAGATAATCATATTAAAGCAATTAAAATAACTAGTTCGTGAAAAACACTAAGATGGAGATTTTGTCAAAACACTAAATTTTCATTTATTAATTGTTAGTGTATAATGACGAAGTCTAAAGCAAACTTTGAGCTTTTTCATAGTTAATTATTGGGTTCTGAAGGTTGAAAACAATGTGCTTAATAGATGATCCACAAGATTGTTTTTGTACTTCTTTATCAAAATCATTGTTTTTAAATAAAGATTTATTATGATTTTAAAAGCAATTTTCAATAAAAGATAAAAACTATTGAACAATAATTTTTATGCATATGTATAAAAAAAATATAAGAATAATAAATATGATAAAAATGTATAAAATACTTGCCATGAAAAAATAACAAAATAGATACATTGAATATTAATGAGTAACCTTTTTAAAAGAAATTTATATTAGATTAATATATAATTATTTATAAATTAATTGTTACCATGAGATTATACATAATTGGATAATTATTTTTTTTTTTTAAATTAAAAATAATTAAACTAAAAAAAATTAATAGTCATTTTGAAAAAAAAAAACTAGGCACAATTAAGCCTAGAAAGATGGCCTTTACACATGATTTTCTTCTTCCTACTATCATCCATCCTATTTTTTTAATAAAACAAAATAAATGATGCATTGTTCGTTTAGATAAACAACATGTTATTTTTTTTATTTAAATTTTAATTGTCTTTAGCAATCAAATAATTAAAATTAAAATTTTTTATCTTTAAAAATCTAAATTTTAACTTTTTTTTTCCACCTAAAACACCTCAAAATACCCTACCAGCCTCTATAAAATCATTCTCAACCTCAAAAACACTATTTAATTAGTTTAAAAGATTGTAAATGAAACTTAATCAAAACAAAATTCATATATATATATATATATCTCAGTTTAAAAGATTGTAAATGAAACTTAATAAAAACAAAATTCATATATATATAAGGGTAAAACCACCTCCATTCTTATCTTTAAAATGAACTCATTGACAATAAAATTGAACTTTTATATATTGATCGAACACTCTCTTTTCTCTCCCTTTGCCAGCAACTTTCTCTTTCATCCCTTAATGTTTAGGGTCTCGATCTTCAAAAAAAAAATTAAAACCAAGCCACAAATATCTTGAAGAACAAGGATCCAATATGCAAATATTTAAAATTTTAAGGGCCAATTAAATTTTTATGCGCCTTTGGACTATTTAAATGGGAAAAAACTCTATTTTTCAAATGTTAATATTTTATCCTTATTTTTTTTAATTTTCGTTTTAAAAATAATCTAAAATCCAATTTTATAAAATTAATCTTTAATTTAACCGCAAAATACTTCGTGACAAGTTGAATGGGTGAGAGCATGCAAAATAAAATGGATCTCAATACACAAAACCATGCCAAAAAAAACTTGCACGGATAAAATTGAAGAAAAGTTTAGCGACCAAAGTACAAAAAGATGAAAATTCAAGTACCTAAATGAAAAGGGTAGCTATAAATAATGATACAAACAAAAATATGTGAGGATAGATAGAATATCAAAAGTGAAAACACCAAATAGTTTAGTTTTATTTATAATTGTAATTATAATATTAATAGAGAAAAATGCTCGACAAACCAAAGAATTCCAGGCTTAATATTGAACTCATGTCTAAAGTCTTCCTTCTTAAATGGACAAAACTCAACTTTCATCCACTAATTAAGCAAAACTAGGAAAGAACATTACTGTATAATATAGTCACTAACTATATATTAATTTAATTTTTTTGGGTGTGTACCCCAAGATTGCTCCAGCATTCCCTAGTTTCCGCAAGAAATAGACTACTTTGGGATTAATTTATATATTTTTCTCCTAAATGAAATGATGATTGGCATGCACGAACTACGCGGAAAGAAACAACATCGAAAAAATATAAAATGAAGAACATGGTAATATAAAATTATATTGAATAGGGATTACATAAAAATATTTATTTAAGTTTTTAATGCTAGTTATTTTCTTTTCAAGTAATCTATGTATATAAATATAAACTAAATAACTCTACTTATATATATATTAGTAAAAACATCATGGATAAACTTGAAAAAACAAAAAAAGAATTCTTTATCCAATAAAAAAAATCTCAAATCAACTAAAAAAAATATGCAAATCTTGAATGATAAATTTTGAATCTTATTTAAAAGCCTTTATGATATTTGATTTGGTATAAGATTCTAAGACTAAAACAAAAAAAGTTTTTGAATATTTTTAAAATTTTAATTCAATTTAATTATAGATAAAAAATCATGCTAAAAAGATTAACCACAAAGACATGAATGTTATACCCTACTGGATCTAATAAATTAATTTGAGAAATTTAGAATTTAAAACTTAATTTAAGCTAATTTCTTAGATAATTAAATAAGATATTAACTGGTTAAAATTTTATTGATTTGGTTGGATTTTAAATGACTTGATTAACTTGGTTAAATCTAATTCAAACTAGTTCTTATTAATACCAAGTGGATTTTTTAAAAACTCAATTTATCTGTTTTATTCTTCTAAATGTCTTTTTTTTATATATAAAAACAAAGTAATTTTGATTAATTTTAAAAATATATATATAAAGGGTTGATTATTCATTATTGAAACCGTCAATAATTATGATGGTGTTTGTTTATGCCGCTGCAGTTGTGTTTTAATTAAAACGCAATTTGCGGCCGTTTAATAAAGAAAAAAAATCAATTTATTGTATGTGAATCCCACATAATTTTTAGTGAAATGTAGCTAATAAAAAACAAAAAAAAATATTACTTTTCATTCATTATTTATATTAATTACACTGTTCACCGCACCGCACTGTTCACAAGTGAATTGCACTGTTCACGCAAACAGTGCAATTCACTTGCATTTTTCATACAGGTGATTTTTTTTAGTGTTTATTTAATTTTATTAATATTTTTTTAAGTGTTAATGTTTTTAATATTTTTTAATTTGATTAATATTTTAAAAAAACTAGTTTAAAGTGAATTAAATTTATTTGCACGTTGATGTGAATAATATTTTTTTCTTAAAAAACTAATATAGAGTAAATTAAATTCACTTGTACTGTAATATCAATTTTATACCTGATAATATTTTATTTAATTTTATTACACGCTTAAAAAATTATAAAAACTGTAACTCTTATCGAATAAATTTTGTACGTAATGGAATTATAAATAGTTTAATAAAATAAAAAAATATTTTATATAAAGTATTATT